TAGGCTAAATAGTATTAATCAATATATGAATACTGTATATTTTGTATACCATTGTAATGTGTTACTTTATATAAGAGTTGTGTTAACTGTTATGCAAATGAGAAAAAGTACAGCACGTACTATAGTTTCTGTTATTCTATACTATAGTATGCACTATAGTATAATATACAGTTATAGCAGAAAAGCTCAGTTGCAAAAAGTGTTTACACTTTGATGTTCCCAATGATTTTGTGCTACACCATTGTTCAAAATGCAGAATGTAAATAAAAATAGGATTCAACAAATTGTAAAGCTCATAAACCCGAATTTTATTCACAGCAAGGCTTCATCAGCTCATTTGGAATTTGATGCGTTGCCGCCATCAAATTCAAAATGAGCTGCTGTTTTAATTTAAAAAGTACCTTTTCTCCATTTGAACACTTGATTTTTTTCCCTATATTCTAATGTGAGTTAAAATTTGGGTTTATGAGAACTGCAAATCATTGCGTTCTTTGTTTTTTTTTATTCACACAGCCTTGTAATATTGTATATGATCTGTCCTCATAAAAGCATGAAGGGACTGTTAGGGACTCCAAAATTCATTCTTTTCCTAAGATATTTACTGATTTTGTTTTCTTTTATACACTAATTACAAAGATGGCTTACATTTTGATTTAACTTACTATTTTCAACTGGCTGTGTGGCGTTGGAATTGTGTAATTTGACAGTCATGTGTCAGTCTCAGCCAATGTTATCAAGTGGAATTGGGGGATAACTCTAGCGCTCAGATTCATTAGAAAGCTGTCGCGTGTGCTCAGTTCATGTGTAATAACTGCTTACATAGCGATTCTTCTCAGTTAAACATAAAAAAGAGCTAGAATGGACTATTCATAATTTGGACAAAATTTGGTATATCTGTTGTTTTTAAATTAAGTCTGACATTTTTTCTTCTATGCCAAAGCAGACAAGCAAGAATATTAGGTCAATCTGGTCATTTTAATCAAGTGTTTCGCTCATTCATGGTTAATGAATTGATTTTTGAGCATCTATGTAAGTTTTTTTCTGTATAATTGTGACATCAATCACTTTCATAAAATGCCTGTATGACAGCGAAGGCTTTCATGTGACTTCTTCTGCTGGATTTATGCTGTAAAACAAATACAGCATATATGAGTCCAGTGAAATTACTTTTCTTATGCCAGCTGCAGCTACTGAAGGTTATTAAACTGTCACTTAGGTTTGGGAATAAGGATGAAGGGGATCATAAGTTTCCTATCAAACCCTGAATACCACATAGTGTATAAGTAAATCCATTAAATATCCCAAAATACCACAGAGGAGCTTTCACTAGGCTTTAACAATGGCTCCATTTTGAAAACGAACCACATGGCATGATGGGACATGTTAAGTTTATGCGGCTACATAAACATATATCCTGTGTGAGTGCACATGTGGAGCTTTGGGGATAAAGCTGAATTCTGTGTGAAAAAACACAGACTTTACACTCTAATGCATTTCACAAAGATTGCATAAGCTATGTGGGATTTTCATACAACCACTTCCCTATTGTCTGCAAAAAACTGACAGGAAACTGTGTTTTCATCTCTATGGCGCAAATCCATTGCCAATTCCATCCACCACCCCAGAAAGAAGCACATTTTGAAGTCCTTCGGTAGCACAAAACCAGCGATCAATAAGTGTAAAGCCTTTTTTTTGCAACTGTGTATGATAAATCAAATACATTTACAGTGGCAGGGTGTGTACGTGTATGAGCCCTCTGCCAAACTGCGTTTTCCTTCTCGGTTTGATGATCCTTTAACTTACATGGACAAAGGATGGTGTAGCATAAATAGTAATACAAAGGCAAAAACCACAGGATCCAATAATTAACACTCATTAAAACTCAGCTGAGATTGGTTCATTATAGCAGCTGCCACTTGAAATCTTGAGACACAAGATTCCAATAGACTGGCTCAAACATCAATTAAAAGCAAATAAGGACATTTTTCGAGATTCCCTGAAAGTGTTTTTGAAATACGAGCGTTAGCAACATGATAATATAGATCAAGTAGGCAAAAAGAAGAACAGGCTGTCCATGAATGTCATAATGGCCACCTGTGAGCTCACACCATTACACACCGAACTGTCATCCTTTATCTATATGAAGTTAAACGATGATCAGATGTTCATTTTTTATTATTAAAAACAAGGTTAAAAAAAAGAAACTTCTTCCTTACCCTGTGACTGTGTGTTGTGTATATGTGTGTGTGTGTCTGTGTGTCTGTGTGTGTGGTGTGTTTGGCACACGTTTGGTTGACAGAAAACAGCAGACGGGATGGGGATGAGTTTTCCAGGGTTTCAGTGTTCAGACTCCAGTGTACAGTTCTGTTGTGGCAACAGATCGGGCTGCCACCCCTCCCCTGACGGACTGTCACTCTAAGATCCAAGACGAAGATGGAGATCAACAGTCTGGGAGGAAAGAATCAAAGATAGGCGTGAGCTTCAATCGTATACCACAGCTTGTTGGTGTTGTTCCCACATCATCATAATCAATGTTGTTCCAGGTTCAACATTGCAAGTGACCAATCACATTGTTGTGACGTCATACTTTTTGCAAGCCAAGCCATTCATTCATTTATGACATTCCAATGTTGCAAGGACAATATGTATAATGCTTATTGTTTATTAAAGAATAGTATCCTGAAATGAACAGAGGCGGTTTCTCGCACGTTAAGTAGATTCTTTTTTTAAGGTGTTTTTTTCCAAAGTCGCAAAAGTATGATGTCACAACAATGTGATTGGTCACTTGTAATGTTAAACCTGGAACGACATTTATTATGATGATGTGGGAACAACACCAACACGAGGATATCAGATCATCCTTGTTTTTATTGCTCCTTATTGTGCTTTATTTTTAAAGTATATATACTCACCACAATTTACGTAATAATCAAAGTAAATTAGATTTAAGTCTCCACACAGAAAATGTTAGAGAAAGCAAGGCAGCTCATGCTAGGTGATCTATTCACCAAAGCATATTGCTTTTGTTTAATCTAGAGCTCCTGCTGGCTGGTTGGGTAAATATCACATGACCCTAGATATCTTTCTAAAAGGATTTTCTGATTGGTTTCATGCACGCTGTTGCAGATGTCAATATTATGTGTCTCTGTGTCAAGCTTTATCAGCTCCAGGCATTTTCATATGTTTCTTCCCTTTATGATCCACCTGAGCAACGAGAAGTCACTGCCCTGACTCTGATCCTGTCAGGAAAATGAAGTCAGCGGCACTGCCAAGCAAACATCTTGGGTTTATCGCTTGTGACCTACAGAAAAGGATCCCGCGAAATAAATTCATTAAAGAATATTCTCGCGGCGCAACCGCAAATACTTAATCAAGATAAGCTCGGTAAGGAGCGCAAATAAATGAAAGTGCGGTTTGAAAAGCTATGAGTCAGTCTAACCACTTGCCCCGTGCATCATTAGTGTCAAACGTCTGTCTGCCGCCTCAACACTCTGGCCGTCTCTACCCAGGTATGCTTGCAGCTTTGTGCACTAGATTTCTGTTTTACCATTCAGCTGATGAAGACGAGCTTTTGCTTCATTTCTTAAAATCTTTAGGTGAACACAGTATATTATATAGGCTGTGTTTGCTTTCATACAGTTAGGATTAGAGCCCATGTGTTTTAATTATTACTCATTACAGTTTAATATTGTTTTAACTGATGATTAATTGAGGTTTAATTTCCTTTTTTGCCTTTAAATAGAAAACCAAACTGGCTGCCAGTTTATAACGATCACGTGCTACATGTTCAGACATTTTCATAGCATTGGATAAATGCTCTTTATCTGAATAAATAAAATGCGCGCATGTGATTGGTCCTCTCACAAATATTAATTATTAATATTAACCTTTTTATTTATTTTTTATTTTTCACATGCAGCCTTTAACGGTTTAGTTCTTGACATGTGCATGTCAAGAATGTACAGCCATCAAAAATCATATTCAGTCTCTAACCGTTTAATAACTGTCATCTGAGCAATGTGAGGGAAACCTCGAAGCTGCCATGTGAAATGCAACAGCCAACAGGACACCCACACATAAATATAAACACCTTGCTTGCGTTCTGTCCCCTCTACCTCCATTTATGTGAAATGGCTCATTACCAGCAGACAAATCAATTGGCTCTGCTCTCTGAACACCCACTTGCGATAATAAGAGACTCTACAGACAACCCACAGACTGGAAATATGGCGCTGCCCACCAGCTTGAAGCCAAGGTACACATCAGTAAAAGATGAAAGGAGAAAGAGTGACTAAGACCCAGACATGAGCTCTGTCTGTGGATTATGCACTCACATGAAAAAGTTTTCGCTAGACAAATATGATCAGGAATCATATTTTAACTTGTGTTTTTGCCTATTTAAAAACAATAACATATTCTTCTTGCTCTCATTAAGCATCAAAGATTAGGGCTGATCTAATCTTTTCATAATTAAATGACTTATATTATTCTGGTGTTACGATATTTATTGTCTTAATAGAGATCAAGAGAAGTACAGTTTGGGCCTTTTTAGCTTAAATGATTGGGATTGTTTTTAACTATTTGATTGACAGTAAGTAGATATTTTCCTCCTCAGTTTCAGAAATCACAGCAAAAATCATTTCCAGATTTGAATTATTCTCTAAATTGAAGGAAACAACTGCAGTGTCAAACACACTTAGTCGTTTAGCCTTGAGGCCAAAACTGACAAAACAGAAATCTCCAGCCATGATATAAAAAGAATTATAAATGTATCCGCAGAATATATATTTAATTTTCTTAACACTAAAGATCTAATCATAACTTATCACTCTACAAGTAATAAATAATTCAACATGAACTGGCTTTGTAGTGCTTACCTTGACCATCTTTTCTACTGTTCTGGTGTGCTCTCAATTCTTCTGATTTATAGAAATCAATACTGGCGTAAGTGTTGAGGCTGGAGCCAGCACTGCTACCCATAGCGCTTCCTCCCATGTTGTAGGCAGAAGAGGTGTGCTCCACTCCAGCTTGAGGGCTCTCCTTAATGGCCAAGTCAAGGTCAATATAATTAAGGCCTTGTTCTCCAGATGAGGTGGAGGCTTGAGGTGGAGGTGTGGCAGACATACTAGCAGCCTGCCCGCTCTCCCACAGTGAGCAGTCCAAACCATGCCGATGGCCCACTGCCTGGCTGCCCTCTGGGAAGAGGGAGGTAGAAGAGGATGCGTGGCGTGGTAGTGAGGGAGGTGAATTGAATGTCTCTGGGCAGTGGCTTAGGCGTCCCTGCTGGTCACCTCGGACCAGTCTGCTGCTCCGCTCCGGAGACTGGAAGGACTTGACTGGGGAAAAGCCCAAACCTGTCTCCTGCTCCACAGGTAAGGGTTGACCAGAGTGGATGGCAGGTCGTGCTGAAGTGCTGGGATCTGAGGCTTTGCTCTCCGTAAATGGAGGCGGGACTTCTGTCAGCGCTGCTGCTGTCTTTATTTTTGTTCTGTAGCCCACGTTGCCCTCTGCGGCCAGAGGAGAGGACGTGCCGTGCTCGTGTCGGGCCTTAGGGGCAACAGCTGGTGGGCCCTGTTGGGTGCTGAATGTGGATCTAACATGAGTCACTGGTGTTGAGGATTTCCCTAAATCCATGCTGACGTACTCAGCAGAGGTGGACAATGGTGCAGAGAAGCTGCGGGGAAGGTTAGCAGGATTATCATGGCGGAGGAGCGGTTGATTCACGGGTCGGAGCGTTCCATGGATCACAGGACGTTCGGAACCTGCACATCGTCCTTCGCCATATTTACTGTCTTCCTTGAAGACAATGCTGACATACTCACCAACATTCTGAGACACTGATGGCGGCAGATTCTCTTTAACCCTGGGCAGCGTGTTTGCTTTAGTAATGTCTGAAGACACGCTGAGGGGACGACCCCGCCTTTGTTGCTTTGGACTCTTACTGCTCGATGCACGTTTTTGTTGGTGACGCCCATCTTTCGTGCTTGTTCCTGCACTCTTGTATTCTGCTCCGGTTCTTAATAAACTTAACCCTCTCCCCGCTGATATGGACTTGTCTTCGAGGCTTTCACTACTGGCAGAGCTAGAGGAGAAAGAAGAGGAAGACATGGAAAGTTGGCAGCTTCCAGCAGCGCCCATTGCAATTTTGTTTCTCTTGCTGTATCCAACTCCTCCTCCCCGTCCAGCACTATCGTGCCCACTGCCATCTTTTTTTCCTTCTCCTTTGTTCAAGTCATCCTCAAAGCGAGTATAGAGAGTGTGTTGATAAGCTCGTGGCAGTGAGAAGTAGGAGTTGAACATTTTTGGTTGAAGTTGGTGCTGTTCAGGATGGGAAGGCGGTGTGCTGCAAGCAGAGCGGCTGCTGACAGGTGAGATGTTCATGTAGTCACTGGCAGCCCGGCTCTCCATGTTGCCCCTGCTATCCCACATGCCTAGTCCATGCAGGTCTGTGGAGCTGCTGCTATTGGGAGACATGACCATGTAGCCCTCTGAACTGGGCTGGCGGATATGCTGAGGGGGGGACACGCTGTTGTTGGGGGTCATGGCCATGTATTCGTCATCTGCCCCGGGTTTAGTACCGGAGTCAGAAATACCTATTGAGAGAGAAAGTGAAACAGGAGGAGATGTCACTCCAGGCAACATTGACATATAGCCACTATCCACAGCTGCTCCTCTGTCCACTTCTTCCCCACTTTTGTCAGACCTCTTCCTATTCTCCCCTACAAGTTGCCCACCCCTAACTCTCAGTCTGCCTGAATCATGGTGCAAATCAGCTCGCTGTGTGTTAGCGCTCTGCGACATGATGGCGTATTCTTCGTCGTCCTCATCATCTTCATCTTTTCTATGTGGAGTCAGCCGCTCGTGGGACGCCACAGGCAGTGAAGCCCTCTTACTGAGAAGTCTACGTTCTGCCTCTGATTCACGACTGGATGAACGCCGCAGTATCCGTCTGCCTTTGGAGCGATGATGGGAACCAAGCAGACTCTCTCGCTGTCCCATGACGATATAGCTAGAGGAGCCTTCTCCATGTACGTGATGTCCTGACAGGCTTGGTAGGAGCAGAGAGTGCTCGCCGGGACTGGAGCCGTACTCATCTGAGGATCCATAGTCGCTCGGTGAACCTGAAACAGAAACTCTTTGTGATACACGAGGGTAGGAGCAGATCGTCATGCCTCCCACCGCTGCCCCCACTAGTCCACACTCTGAGCCATGACCAGAGCTGGAGGACAGACTCGGCGCAGGGGAAGGAGCAGGGTTAGGTGTGTAACGTGCAAGGCTGAGGGTAATCTTAGCAGGGGTTGGGGCCCGGGTGGGCTTGGGTCTCAGAGTTGGGGTAGTTGAGCAGGATCCATTGAGACTTGGGCTGGAGCTGGCCCACGTCCCTTTGGCACTTGCTCCACTCTCCTCCGACCTGGCTCCGATGCTGGCTGTTCGCGCCCTTGGAAACCCGTGGCGCGATGTAGGTGATGTGCTCGTGCTGCTGCCTCCTGTTCCGGGGGTCTCCGTGCGTGCCCGTCTCGAGAAGCCCACCTGGCTCGGTGGCAGATTTGGGTGATGACGACGGCTCGGGACACTGATGGGATTTGAAGCAGTACCACCTCCACATGATGTTCCCACAGACTGAGATTTACTGCGCTGACGGAACTCCTCACTAAGGGCCTTCATGGCCTCCAGCAGGGTCTCGTGCATGTTCTGAGCCACCACGGAGTCATCCACCTGCATCCAGAACTCTCCGGGGCCAGTAATAGCTGAGCGCCCCACCTCAATGAAGAAAAAATTCTCTGAATGACCACATCTTCGGACATTCATCAGCTGCAACACTACAGAGGCCACATCAGAGTTGAGCTTGACAAAGTTGACTGTCTTGTCAGTTAGGCACAGCCGGTAGATGCCTACTAAATTCCTGGCATGTCCGAGACCTTTAGGCCAAACCTTGACCTGCCACACTTCCTTGAAGGTTGGAACAGGAGATGGAGAGCTACACTCTCCACTGCTGCCATAGTCTTCAGGGGTTTTACCTAGAAAAACAGTAAAGAATAAATAAAACAATTAGGGGATTTAATGATTACACACATACATACAAGAAAAAAAGAGGGGTTTAATTCAAACATAGCCTGCTGAAATACTAACGAAAGCCAAAATGACAGTAATAAGTAATGCTTTGTTACTCTATCGTAAGTAAATTGCCATATGGAAGAATACTGCCAAACAGCTGTGCTGCAGCCAATTCATCACCATCACTTTTAAGCTACAGCTCATAATTAATTAAGCCTTAAAAGCTATAGAAAGCATCCACTAAAAAGCATCATGCTCAACTGTGATACAAGACATTGTAATTCTGCTCAGTGCCAATCAAATAACAAATTGCAGAATCCCCCTCCCCGCCCCAGCCCCCCTCTCACAATCAGTGTTATTTTCAGTAAACAACAAACAATCTGCTGGTTTGCTACAATCCACCAGAGAAAGAGAAAATATTAGCAATGAACTCCACAGAAATTATTATAAGACATAATATATTAATGTGCTTCAATCTATCTCTCTCTGTTTTTTTGTTTTGTTTTTTTGCAAGACTCTCGCCTAATTACGATCAGCTGCACATTAAAATTAAAATAAACAGACATTGTTTTATTGTGACTGTGCCTGAGCCATACCCTGAACAAAATGGGGGTCTTCTGTGCTCTAATGTGTGTCTGTTAAGGGTTCCACAACCACATATTAGAGCTGGGCAAGCCCATCAGTCTCAAATAACTGAAATGCAAAGGGAGAACAGGCAGGGAGGGTGGGTGGTGGTGGTGCTCAGCTCCGGCATAAGGATAACAACGTAAACACGAGGATAACCAACAGAAACACAATTTCCAGCGCAGAGCGCACTAACGATGCCATCTCCTCCCTACCAGCAGCAGCACCGCGTAACGCAAATGTAGGTTAGACGAATAGCAGTCGGAGCTGTGCAGAAAAACAAAAACACGGGCTCCAGCGGAGTGCACCGCGATAGGCTGCTACTATATGATGCATCCCTTGGATGGTTGCTATATGCCCACTGCGCCATGCAGAAGCACACCGTCGTATGAAAACGGACTGCATTTTGGTCACAAGAAGAGATCATCTCGTGTTCTTACAGGCGGATGCTGTTTAACGCATCAAATTATGTTTTTGCTGACGGATAATAATCTGCAGGTTGTGACTGTATTAAAGCACTGCTTATTGAGATTGTGCTGCACAAACACACAGCACATGCCGCCCATAGCGTGTCGGTCTAACACGTTCAATAGGATCCACCTGCCTCTTGGTTAAAATACATCACCCTCCAAACTGCATTGCTTACACTATATGGGTACAATTAAAACACAAAAACCTACAAACCTACAAACCTATAAAAAAAAAAAAAAAAAAAAAAAAAAAATCAAAGAAAATATTCAAATAATTCGAGCCGGTGATATGCAGAGAGACACCCGGATGGCCGAGCCAAAATAGTGTATGGAGAACAAATAGCCTACGGCAGGATAGGCCTGATGCAGAAACAGACAGAAGAAATCACATCACACTTTTCATATCTTACAGTTGCCCTGGAGGTCCAGCATTGCTTGGTACCACTCATTTTGGACCTCCTCGCTGTCTGCAGCGATGGCAAAGCTCTCGCTGCGGGTATAAAGCACTATCATGTGCTTGTTCTTGGAATCTGCCCGCTTGTTGATGTTGAAGCAAGTCTCCAGGTTCAGGACTTTTTTGGGCACAGGTGATTTACTGCGGAATTTCTTCTCGTTCTCGTAGTACTCAAGTCGAGCGGGACCATGCTCCGAGGCCGCCCTCAGCACGAAAAATCGCCGGTGCATTGATTTATGCTTGCGGAGATACCCGCTTTTCTGTACATCTTCATAGTTCTGCGGCTCGGCTGCTTGGTTCTCCATTGCCAAAACAGGCGAGCGATGGTTATTATAAACAATTATTCTCAGGGGGGAAAATAATGTCCATGCGTATTCCTCATTTATCCATCGCAACTACATCCCTCGTCCTCCCCGCGTTCACGTTTAAGTGTCCAGCATGTGTGAGGAGGCGCAGGATGGGGAGAATCAGCCAAGCCAACGCATGTTTTGGGTTTGGTATCATATTGTGAATCCAGCAGCCGCAGGAGGATCCGCGCACCGAGCGTGCACAGCGTCCACCGCCGCTCGTCCCGCAGCCCAGCCCAGTCCCCAAGTCCAACCACGGTGCGGTTCAGCTGCTTAAGGACGTCTCCTCCACCTGTCTGAGGTTGCCCATAGCCACTCTGTATTCGCCACTGTCAGATTAGGCAGGATAATAACGACACCCCCGGTAAAGACTTTCGAAATAAAAGCCTTAGGAATTGAAGGGAGGCTACAACCGAAGCCGCTTATCCATTCGCGCATTTTTATCACTTCTCTTGAAATGATATGGTAAAAACAATAAGTGTGGCCAGCATTCTTTAGTAAGTCTTGGGTTTGTACACTGTTTCCAAATGTTGAACATTAGAGCTGTATTGCCTCATCCAGCATCCAATTTAGTGATTTTCAGTAACTTTGCTGTGCATTACAATTGGTCTAACCTTTACTCCCCCACAGTTTTGGTGGTAATACAGTAACACAGTGAAATGTAACACATTACTGTTACATTTCTCTCTAAGAAACTAATGTAGCTTTGCTGATTTTAAATTCAGATTCACTTTTGTTCAATTGGTTAAATCTAAGAGAGAAGAGCCTACTCCCAGTGCCCTGCTAAGATTATTATTTTTTCCTCTCTGGGCTGCTTTTACACAAACTGTGCCGTTGGCTTTGCAGTAGCACCATAATAAAGATGGTAAGAGAAGGATCTTATGATCTAATATGACCCTTGTAAGCAAAGGGATTTGTGCTGATATGTGGCATATATACGTTTTTATTGTTAATCAAGTGGCATGTGCTTGTCGTATTAACATAAACGTAAAGTTAATTAAATCAGTAAATTTCAATATGCACTAAAACATTACAGATTTTAAATTTTTAAATCTTTCTAAATAATGACCTCAACACAGCTCACCAATGATCGTTTGAGAAAGAGTAACGTGAAGTTACAGGAGCAGTCAACACTGCAGTAGATTCACAGCTGCGTTATATGGATTCTAATATCCTGCTGGTTCAAGAGGACAGTGTTCTGACAAATGTATCGACTGCACTAATGTGAGTTGTATTGTGAAAGACAACCTGCTCTGTTTCCGCTCTCCCCCGCCTCTCTGTGGCTGACTTGACTTGCATCCGTTAGACTGACACCTCCAAGCCGGTGCCAGTCAAATGCCAGGGGTGCTTCGGGGCTGCTGGGGTGCACAGACCAGGAACGCGGCGTTCAGACCACGAACGCTTGGTGCGTGGCGCTGTGTGGACGGTCGGCCAGCTTATATCGTTTCCAGCAGATTTTACCCAGTTGGCTGTACAAAGACACGAGGAAAACAACTGCAGAACGTGCTGCTTGAGAGGTCGAGGATACGCAGCCATAGGCCAAATACATTTTGGGGGTAGTCAAATGTCAAGCAGCCATTAAATTCATATGTGCGCATTTTATGCAGAGTCCGCTGTAGAGTCCACGGAATCTGCTGGCAAAATGCAATTTTTATAACATTAGCTAGAAAATCGTTACTTTTTTTCCACGTTTAGAAAACCCAGTTAGCCCAATTAATTCGTTCTTTTCAATTCCAGTTATTTTTAATAACAAAAACATGTAAGAAAAAAGGGGAAACAAACAAATTATTAATAATAATCACATATTTCTGGAACTACTGATAAAATGGGTTGCCTTGGCGATCAGTTGCGAAATGTTGTGGTTGAATTTGAAGATAATAAACACAAGTCAGATACACTCATCTGCAGGCTACATCATACTGCCCTATTGTTGTTTAACAGTCTTATCTGCTGTGAGCAACAAACACACTTAAACAGAACCGGGATTTCACACAATAGGGTTGTGATAAGCTTGTGAATGCGGATTTAAGGTAGTTTTTTTTAATATAATTATTATTATGATCCATAAATACAGAGATGATGCAGAAATACTAATGTATAAAGCATAAACTGATTTCTATCCAAGCAGTAAATCAACTATAATAAATAGCAGTTCAGAAAGATTCTGTCTCATGCTGTAGACGATAGTCTGTAGTTAGATCTGAGGGGTGTGATTGCACCAAAAAGTGCCAAAAAAAGGTTTGGCACAGCAACCTGTCAACATGTCCTCATAGCAGCCCTTGTTAGTGGCAGTAGAAAGAATTGCTTTTGAGCTGTCATTGTCCTCAGGGACAATTCCTGGTAGCGGCGCAGACACAGTCTGTTCTTAAATTTGTTTACAATGTGCAGGGTATTGCACAGAAGTTGCATTATGTAAAGCCTTCCTTACATTTTCATTTGATTGTTCCACTACAGAATAAAGCAGAGTCGCACCAGCCCAAGTAAGCTCAAAGCTTGTTAGCATCACTGGCTCAGCAAAGTGGGGAGTTTCACGACTCACACTGAGCTGCTGCATTTTCTTAAATAAGCGTAGTTTTAATGTAGCTCATAGTTTAAGTATGCTCCATCAGCACTGCTTCAAACCTTATACCCTTAAAACATGCATGAACAGATTTCACAGCTTCAACCTACTTGTGATTTACTGTTTTTTACTGAATTTTATTGGCTCATTTCAAAAGCATATTGCAGTGTAGCGTCAGGGCATCATCTGGGAAAATATCCGCGACACACTCAGCAGTAGGCAGACAAACATAAGAAGACACAATCTTCGCTAAAACACATTTTATTTACAGAAACGCAGTGATATCACTTTGAAAATGAACAATACAGTGCATTCAGTATTGATGAGATCTATGTGTTTGGCAAATTGTTAAAAAAAAAAGAGTAGGTCTTACCTATAGGCCTACCACAGAATTAAATGAAAGAAAGAAATATTCAGACCACTTTCCCCACGTTTGTCCTCTTGATTCGGGACCTTCCAGGTTGTCTTCATCTGGGGTTTAATCACGCCTGGAAACGGTGCTAAACACTTAATGGTGTGAAAGACTACACCACAAGCAACCTGATAATCAAGTCATCAGACCTCTGTTTTTTTGTCCATATGCTGAGCTGCTGCGACAAACTGCTGTAGGTTAAAAGTGGCCAGCAGCCAGCTGCCTGCAGCCTGAAAACTGCTTTTAGAGGAAAATCACATCCTCACATTGTCTGCCTATTGTTGCTTCAATATCAGTGCCGTGGCAGACAATTAGCAAGGCGACACAGAGTGAGAGAACAATGTGGCTGCTGGCTTTTTGAATACACCGTGATAAAACCCTCATGTTTTGTTGATATCTCCTGTTGTGTCAGGGGTTTAGGGAACTCAAGCAGGAAACATTTCAAAAATCCCCTAAACCTGCAGGACACGAAGAAAAAATAACTATGTACACATGTACAGTATATACATCCCCAAGCCAAAGACAAGTGACTCAGAGGACTCCACCCTCCTGTTCTCCTATTTTCCTCTTCACATGCATCTGTAAAACAGGATTCCCTAGGGATGGGCATCGGAGGTGGACGTGCAATCTCAGAGGAACTTTAGATACTGCCGCAGTTTGGAGAGTTCCCAAACGAAAATTCAGACATTCTCCTGCAGAAGATGGCGATACACATGAAAAATCCAAGTCTGCTGAAGCATGTTATTAGAGATCATTTCAGTCAATTGATTCAAACGTTTTGTGCATCAGTGCAGAACACACATACTGTATTAAATAAGGTCTTCCTATTACTGTCTTGTTAAGACCCCGTTGAACACGCAGCACGTTCAGTCATGCATGCAGCGTGTTTCAGTAATAGGCTGCATGCAGTGTTAGTGCACTGTTAGTGACAAATGGTTTGGGCCTTACATCCTTTATGTTTTGATAGAAAATGTCAACATAGTGTAAAGCAGTACATATTTAATTAGAAAGAACACACAGCTCACAAAGAAAAGAGTATTACAGCGAGAGAAGCATGACGCCGATGCGCATGATAAAGAAGAATAGGATAAAGAAGTATTTGTTATTAAGTGGTGTGTTTGATGAATTTTTAAATTTACTGTTTTCAAAACTTAAAAAAAAATTAATTTTCTGATTAATATAGCGAATTACAGTCATTTACTTGCATTCACAAACAGAAAAGAATAATTTTAGTGGTTGAATCATTTCAGTTCAGATCAGAATTTTTTTGTTTTAAATATGTTTTTGTCAGATTTCTAAAAATATTTATGCTTACTTGCATAAATCAATTTGTTAAGCACTGCATATTGCTGATATCCAGCTAGAAACAAACAGGCCACAGATGTAAATCAAATTTTTAAAGACCAAGTGGCCAAAGAAGAATTGTGTTTATTTTTTAGATATATTTTAATAAAACTATAAAATATTAAATCCACCATGTTTTATAGATAGATATAGATTTTGATCACTTTTGGGTGGCATGGCTTCTTCCTTCATCTGTAAACAACACTGCTGCTACAAAAGCAAAATCAGAGCATCCCTCGCCCTGAGCTCCGAATGTGCTATCCAGGTTTGCAGCTGAAATTGCTATAAAAATGTATTAATGTTTTCATTCTGTGTTGTTGTGACAGGGTTAATGCCTCTAAAGTGAGTCCAGTGTAGACACCATTATAGCTGAGATGAATAATCAGGCAGTAATAGCTTCCACCATTAAGGTGTTTATGACAGCATCCCTCCAGAATCTCTATAAAGCACGTGGTTTAGTACAAATACATACAGTACAGTTCACCAGCATTACACATAATACTGTAATCATATTTGTAGACACTTTCATCATTACGCCTTTCTGTTAGGCAAAATGTGCTGTTCAATAAATCTACACTTTTTGGATCTGCAGTGTCACTTTTGTCTATTTTTGGTATAAAACATCCAATAAACATATAGAGCATAGACAGTTTCACCTACTTTTTTCATACAAGAGCAAAGGATTGATTGATGTGATTAATATGGAAATTTTCTTTAGTCTTGTGTGTAGTTGCTGTCAGATATTGCATGTTCAACTTTTCAGTCAATGATCTACCTCTGATCACTTTCCAATAAAAAACCACGGGCTAGTTTGTCTTCTTCTGTCGATCCAGGAATTTTTGTCTTCTGTCGGCGGGTATCTCTTCTAAACTGATCACATGAGTGGATTCCCTGTAATAGGAAACGCACCTTTTTATGCACCGTAAATTGGAACAAAAAAAACAACAAGTAACTTTGATTGCAGTAACTTTTTCTCTAAAATTATCAAAACGGATTCAGTCGGACAAATCACATCTATTAACATGTGTAAATGACAGAACCATTCTCTTACCCCGGAAGGTCTCGAGGATCAGGCAGAGGTTTGGTGAAATCCTCTTTACCCACCAACCAATAAGTGGTCTCAATACCTTTTCCCTACAAATAAACAATCATCAGCAATCAGTTGCTAAGAGCACATATCTAATGCTTCAGCAGGTGTAGAGGTTAGCGTCCCTTTTCATTTTATTTACCTTTAACTCTGTCAGGCCTCTGACATCAATTTTATATCCGAGGTTCAAGCTCTTCAGGACATCAACTGTGCTTTGGTTGACATGGATTCTGTAAGCTGTGCAAATACAGGCGAAACCTTAGCTTTGGTACAGATACACAGTTTAATATAAAATCTTGGGCTTGGAGCATTCCTGGGTTTAAAATGACTAAGTCTACAAGACTGGGCAGAAATCAGAATGTCCTTCTGAGGTTAAGCCACTTGGTGGCAGCATATTACCCATCAGTATAATCATGTAGCACATAACTGTTACTTTAGATTAAGTTTGACTGAAACTACCACTGATCAGTTGAATGTGAATGTTTTTCAATACAATTTTTTAATTACAATTATTTACTGAGAACATTATTAAATGAGAGGTTTTTTTTTTTTTAAATTTCCTTTTCTTTTTTCCTTTTTTAAATTACAGGGCATTTACTAAATGTGTGTACCTTGTAGAAGGTTGCCAAGAAAAACTTGGTCATTGACGGCATTTATTGCGAAACTTTAAATTGGCCTCTAATTCTGCTGATAGCCTTAAAGGATTAGGAAGGACTCCTCACTCAAAGCCCTATTTAGCTTCAAGCAGCATGCACATAAACTGAAAGACACCTGACCTCCCTCCCACTATTCCAGCATTAGAAAAAAGAAACATGTGGTTCATACAATTATGCACAAGACACTCACGCAACGCCGTGGACTCCATTCGAGATGCTGTGTTGACAGTGTCTCCAAACAGACAGTACCGAGGCATCGTAAGGCCAACTACTCCTGCTACAACTGGGCCTGTAAACAACAGTACATATAGGTTACAAAGATTTCCTCCATAACAATACCTTAAATATTCTTTATACTGGTATGCTTTGAAGGCTTTTTCTCTACAGTTTCAACCCAATATATGAAAATATAGCTTCTGTGCACATAAAGAAAGTCACAGTATAGAGTCACAAATCCAGAGTATGCAGTGTGTTAATTGGATGACAGCACTCTAAGTGGATAGTGTTTCACTCTTCCAGGAATAAGCTCCAGACAAAGATAAAGGAGGTAAAAATGCCTCCTCGTCATTGCAGCTTTAGTCCCTGTGGTCCTATTTCTCTGAATTCCCTTTGGATTTAATTTGCACTGTTTTACTTTTTACGCATGTATTTGGCTTTTATAAACAGGTGTGTGGATAGATTATTATTGACCTTTTTCTTCAGATTAAATTCTAAACCCAGAATTTTTTTTATAATTATTTTTTAATAATAATATAATTATTTGTAATTATAATAATTTTTTCTTTTATCCTGTCTTCCTTCTCTCTTCCCAACCGGTCACAATAGATGGCCGCCCCTCCCTGAGCCTGGTTCTTCTGGAGGTTTCTTCCTGTCAAAAGAGAGTTTTTCCTTCCCACTGTTGCCAAAGTGCTTGCTCATAGGGGGTCATTTGACTGTTGGGTTTTCTCCGTATGTATTATTGTCGGGTCTACCTTAAAAATATAAAGCGCCTTGAGGCGTCTGTTGTTGTGATTTGGCGTTGTATAAATAAAATTGAATTGAATTTCACAGCACGTCCAGTAAGGAATCTTCGTGAGAAGCTTAAAGCTTAAATCACACATTCAGGGTTTGTCACAGCACAGAAAGGATGAACACAGTATTTACCACTGTGCAGGCCAACACGTATTCTGATTTTGAGATCAGGCATGTGCCTCGCCTTGAAGGTTCCAATGCAGTGGAGGATGTCAAGAGACATGTTGGCCATTTCAGCTGCATGGCGATTGCCGTTCCTGTTGGGGACCCCTGAGGCTACCATGTAGGCATCTCCAATAGTTTCCACCTAGAAGAGAAAAAGAGGAAAGTTGAACACAAACTGATACCATATAAGTCAAAAGTTTGGACACACCCTCTTATTCAGTGTTTTTTCTTTATTTTTACTACTTTCTACATTGTAGACACATCAAATATATGAAGCAAGATATATGGAATTATGTAGCAAAGACAAAATGATAAATAACTCTAAATGTGTCTTATATTTTAGATTCCTCAAAGTAGCCACTCTTTGCTTTGTCGACAGCGCTGCAAACCCTCGGCCTTCTCTCAATAAGCTTCACGATGTAGTCACCTAAAACGGTTTTCACTTCACAGGTGCGCCTTGTCAGGGTTCATTTGTGGAATTTCTTGCCTTCTTAATGAGGTTGGGACCATCAGTTGTGTTGTGCAGAAGTACACAGCTGACAACTGTTGGAATTCATATTAAGGTAAGAACCAACCAGCTAAGTAAAGCGAAACGACAGTCCATTATTTTAAGAAGTGAAGGTCAGTCAGTTCAGAGCAGTCACAAAAACCATCAAGCACTACGACAAAACTGACTCTAATGAAGACCGTCCCAGAAAAGGAAGACCAAGAGTCACCTCTGCTGTTGAGGATAAATACATCCGAGTTACCAGCACCTCAGATTGGAGCCCAGATAAATGCCACACAGAGTTCAAGTAGCGGGCACATCTCTACATCAACTGCTCAGAGGAGACTGCACAAATCAGGCCTTTATGGTCAAATAGCTGCCAGTCGCCCGACCTAAACCCAATCAAGATGGTTTGGGATGAGATGGACTGCAGAGTAACAGCATGAGGGCCAACAAGTGTTCAGCATCTCTGGGAACAGTAATCAAAGTAAGCAAAGCATGTCTATTTTGAAGAATCCAAAATATAAAACATGTTTTAACTTATTTCACACTTTTTTTTTCTTTAATACATAATTCATATGTGCTCATTCATAGTTTTGATGCCTTCAGTCAGAATCTACAATGTAAATAGTCATCTAAATAAAGAAAAAACATTAAATGGGAAGGTCTGTCTTTGATGATGATGATTACATATCTCTGGGTAGCTCCTAATTTTTTCCCAAAAGGATGACAATAAAGGAATAACAAAGGAGCTACAGGAAAGAAATGACATGGCTACAATAACACATCAGTTATCAGTTAAATCTATGTAGTTTCTAGTCAACTTTGATTGGTCATTACATAAATATATTCTATATAATACTGTAATATAATATAAAATACAAAATATATATATTACATTTTGTTTGCCAGGACAGATGAAGGAAGCAGCAATGGAGTGTAATGGCATGTAACATGGGGAAATGAACCATGGGTGGTGGAGCAAAGGCTCAGCCTGAGAGCAGCTACCTGGGTGACATTTATGTCATGTGTTGGTATTTCAACATTCACCTTGTAGACATCATGCAGCAGAATGATAGCATCAAAAAGTGAGTAGAGGTCATTGAGTAGGTTGACCACCTCAATGGGTTCGCTAAGAGATGAAATGGTGGAGAAGCCCACAATGTCACTGAAGTACAGCGTGATCTGACTGAAATGCTCTGGTTTGACAGGCTTGCCGGTCTTCAGTGCCTGGGCCACAGACCTAAAGGAGAAATGGATAAGCGGAAAAAATGCATATATGAAAACAACTTCTCTCACAAAATCTTGAGACATATGAAATGTTCAGGACATATAGACGACTGCAGACATTCAGCTTTAGTTCTTATTTCTAAAAACATGTGCAAGAACTACATATCAATATGGATTCAACAGTTTAATACAGATCTGTTTCTATATGTTCTTGTATAACTATATGACTAAAATAAATTCAGCTTTTTGTTTAATGAGACAACTGAAAAAAATTAGTTTCTGAGCATTGCTTAATGGTACATTTATTAATGTTTCAACAAATCAGAGAATAACTGGAATACACCTGAGATATTTCTGTATAACTCCACAAATTTGTCTCAAATAATTTCTACAGGGTGCAGCAAGCCTCTGAACCAAGAACTGATCCAGCAACAGCGTGAGGTGTTGACTGATCTGCAAACCCCAGAAGGTAATCATGTTTAAAACTCAATACCTATGGCTATGGAGTCAATCCTGTCATGTCTTTCATGTGCTAATGAAAGCTGATGGAAACTCACTTGGGCAACATCTGAGCCACCAGATTGTCAGTCTTCTGCCTCTCCACCTCCAGCTCCTCCGTCCTCTCTCTGATCAGATCCTCTAAGTTGGAGGAGTACTGTTCCAACATGCGCAGCATGGAGTCAATGATGTTGGTTTTCTTTCCCTTGGTGATGCTCTTGAACTGTCACATGAAGAGAAAGACTCAGCTGTGTCCACCTACCTACAGACTAACATGTGAAAACATACAAACATGTGTTTATACCTGTTTGAAGATCTCATCAAAGGTCGGCCTCCGCTCTGGTTCTTCGCTCCAGGCCTGTTTCATGACCTGTATCACTTCCACCGGGGCCTGCTCCACTGATATGACAGGCCGACACAAAGGCGGAGGCTCCTTGACCTTGTTGATAATCTCTGTCATCATACACATAAACAAAAGTCTTGTCAGCTAACTGTGATTTAAACTGTTAATGAAAAGTACTAAAAGTAGTAGCATGTTACTTACCTTTGGGAGGCATGTCCAACATGCAGAAAGGTGCAGAGCGAGCGATGACCTCCTGGCAAACAATGGAGAAACTGTAGACATCACCTGCAAAAGTGCCCCTCCTCCTCTGACTAGAACTTCGCAGCAGCTCAGGAGCCGTCCAAAGTAGATCTTTTTTTTTTTTATCAAGTGCACAGTTAGTAAAAAATGATACATGCAAACAAAAATTACAATAATAATTATTACGTGGATGTGCATGTGCATGCACTCACCCTCTGGCTTTTCATCTTTGTCAATATTTTGGACAATCCAAATCTCGTTGAACCCGTAATCTGTCACCTTCAGCACAAAACGCCCATCTACCACACAGTTACGGGATTTGAGTCGACCGTGGATGATATCGCGATGGTGCAGGTACTTCATACCCTGATGACAGTTTGTAGAAATGTGTGACAAACATGGTAAAATAAGAAATGAAACACTGACAGATCACCTTATAAATCTCTTACCCGGATCAGATCCGATAACAAGGAAGACTTGAACATCCAGTCGAGACGCACTTCTTCATTGCTGAGCAAATCCTCCAAGCTGCCCCTGGTGCAGTGCTCGATCACAACGCCAAAGATCCCAGAGTCGAAGAACAGCCCCAGTAGCAGATTGAGGTTCTCGTGCCTCATTTCTCTGAGCTGAGAAGCAAACAGTGGCAATATTAGATATAGTTCACTGGAGCTTTTGTGACCAGGGTGTTAAGGCAAATTCAGATGACCAAATGGTTTCTGGCTACAGTTAAGATTCAGTTATCCATTAAACAACATATATAGCCCTTTTCTGACCTTCCCTCATATTTTCATTTACCTTGACAAAGACATTCTCAGTGCTGTTATAGATGTTTGATACTGATCCAGCAGGGCATTTCTTCAGCCAAACCCAGTCACCCTGGCATTTAAACAAACAACAAAGTCATCGTGACACCAAAAACATCAAAAAGACTTCAGCTTCTAAACATTGTACTGAAGTTTACTGAATGTGAACATCTGACTCTCACCTCAAAAACAGCAATATTCGAGCTGTCTGGCGTGGAGGCCAAGTAGCTACGGCCGGACACTGAGTGGTGAGGCGTCTTCATATCCCCCTGGCTTTTTGCTATACTGTCATCATTTAGCTTCTGTTCACACACAGGATTCAAAGAGGATGTGTAAGCTCAGAGTAAACAATGTGCAGCTTTCATACAGTCCATACTACTGTAGGTATGTAGTGCATGCATTTCAGAGAGAAGCCAAAGACAGCAGTATTGATTCAGCACAGAACTCACCCGCTTGCTGACTTGGGTATTGATGAAGACCAGGTCATCAAGGTTCAGCACCACCTTTGTCGATCCACTACTGTGGCCACCACCTCCAAAGCTGAACCCAACTTTGCCATCTCTCCTGAAAAGACCGAAAACAATCATTACATATTTTCTAAGCTACACGAGCCTGAACAAAATCAGATACATACCTGTAGCGAAGAAAGACGTTTACTAAAAATCCAATCAACGAAATGAACATCAGGAAAAGCAAGAAGACAGCAGCCGAATGTATGCCTTGGGAGAGAACCACAAAGATAGTTTGAATGCACTAAAGTCAGCACTGGCTTATTTTTAAATGTGTTTTTAGCGATGGCACTACAAGCACAATCACCTCCAGTACAGGCAAAGTATGGGCTAAACCAGCAGGTTGAGTCTTTGTAGGGAGTGCTCCCTGCAAAATGGATTGAACGGCCGAGATATTTCAAGCCCCCGCTCTTGCTGTCCGTGTGAGAAGCATGAAGCGAATGAGTGGAGTACAGGGTGTTGCCAATGCCGCTGTAGTCCAGGACCACATATTGAGCTTGCATGCCTTCACCGTTCCTGCCAGCCCTCAAGGGCTGATTGAATCCTTCAAACTCAAAGCCACCCTCGCCATCGGCCAGGATCCGACCAGTTACCCAGCGACCTTCTCTATCGCGGACCTGCTCAACAGCCATAGCTGTGTAGTACATCATATTGTAGACGGTGCCAAAGAATGGAGAAACCTTAAAGAAGGGACAGCACAGTAGCCATTTAAACTTCAGATTTGTGTCTTTTTCCTATCCTTTGAGATTTGTCTTTTACTTTCTGTCATTTTTAATGAAGTAGATTCTTATTAGATGTTCTCACCTGCTCTGGGGGAGTGCTGGTACGTATTTCAAAGCTGTCCTGTGCTTGTTTGAAGGCCTCATAGAAATTGCGTTCACCAGAGTCCATGGTGATAGTTAAAACTCCATCAAAGGCTTTCCGGAGCTTGGTGTCATTGCCCAGCATATAGTAGGGTGCATCATTGTAGGGTAGTGAGTAGAGTAGGGTGTCGTAGGGAATGAACACATAGCCACGATCAATCATGCGCATAGCCAAGGCTGTTGTCAGAAGTTGGTACTGGGCTTGGCCACCAATCAGGACTGAGGGCATGCACATGATGACCACTAGAAAAATAAAGTTTAAAGACAGTTTATAATCCCAATTCATGTGAAATATAGCATGTGCAGGCTTTGTAACTCTATGAGGTCTGATTAGCTTAGTTACTCTACCCTAACCTGAACCCCAACCCTCTGTTTTGGAAATTAAAGGAAAAAAATAATATTCAGATATCACATCACAGTCTTAGTGGTTAGAGTTATAATTCCTGCCACTGCTGATGATTATTTAGACATCACAGGGTTAGTTTTGTTCAAGTTGAACTGTTTTTTTCTCACCTCTGACCCGGTCTGTCTCCCGCACTTTTGTCAAAGCTGCCCGAGGCCCTTCTTTGTTGTTCTCCATTGTGACCACCGGTTTAACAGGCAGGCCGAGGGCCCTAAGTGAAGAAGCCAGCTCATGCCCTGTGGCTTCCCACAAGTCTGACTCCTCTGAGATTATGGCCACGTGGGCCCACCGAAAAAATCGCAACACTGTAAAAATTACATGAGAGGAGAGTGGCAGTGGCCTTATGAAACTAGGATACATATGTCCTTTATTCATATTGGGTGTGAGGCAGGCCCAGGAAAGATGCCCAAGATCCCACTCTTTGGCGTACAAAGCAGCTGAGGAGCAGTAGCCTGGGTTGGCTGGGCCCAAGTAAGCAGCTGCATAACCTTTCAGCCCAGCAAAGCGAGCCAGGGCACGGGATGACTTGCAGTCCTCATTGATCAGCTTGTAGTCATACCAGTAGCCTTTATTGAGGTAGGTGTTCTTGTTTATGCGGTTGATGGCAAGGCTGGCAGCCAAGTCAGGGAGGGCTTTTGAATATAGTAGGTCACATGTCCAGGGTCCAACTAGAGCCATTGTGAAAGTGGTTGCAGAGGCTTGATGGGGGAAAAATGAGACTATGAGGAAGGGCAAAATAAACCAGTTCCTCCACCAGCTCCTGGTGTGTTGCAGGGCAGATGATAGCAACTGTGGTCTGGATGATAATGACCTTTTTGACAATGATGACGATGCTGATAAAGATTCAAATCGACTACATCCGCTGAAAGTGTCGGTCCATATATGTTTTTTTCTCCTCCATTTTATGAAGTTGTGCTGCCATCGCGGGTGGTAGGAGAGGTTGTGCAGACAGCAGGGGTCTATGTGTTGTGTCATTTTCTCACACAGCTGTTTAGATGCTTCACACACAGAAGGCTAGTGGTGGCTGTTTAGCGTGAGAGTTTCTCTGTAAATGGGAATGTCTCCCTCTAGTCCAAAGCTGGACAGGTAACAGCACGACTCCAAGCCATCACTGCCAACGGAAAAAAAAAAGGTGGAAAGCATGAGAAATGTTGTAGAACGACATTTAATCTGATCTGTGTTTGGGTCCTCTGTTTTTAAAATGCATCTATCAACACATAAGCTAGCCCCACATCCCACTGCGATGTTTTATTATTATTTTTTTCAATATATTTTTATTGATTTTATAATTGAGTAGTATACAACAATCACCTTCAAAAGAACACAATAGAAGGTGGACGACAAGTCAACAAGGTGGTAATACAGCATACATAAATGTTAAGACAGAGTATATTTCACTTAAGGTTGTCCATCAGGCTAATGACTGGTTGCCAAATCTTATAAAACACACTCTCTCGGTTAGATAAGGTAAATCTGATTTTCTCCAGATGGAGTACATTTCCAAATTCTCTCAACCACATTTCGAAGGTAGGAGGTTTATCAGACTTCCAGCAGAGAAGTATCAGCTTTCTG